CTTGCTTAGGGCAGAGGGTGAGCAGCAGAGCCTTTCTTTGGGGGCACCAATGGCTGGAAGATGCTGCATCCTCCAAAGCTGTCATGCCTTGGAGCACCGCAAGTCGCAACCTTGCCTCATGCTGTCTCCTGAGCTTCCAGACGGCCTTGGGACTGCAGCGTGCTCATCCCAAGAAAGTCCGGGATTTCAGGAGGAGCAGTCACATCCTGGGCTGATTCAGGTTCCTGTGTCACCACTGAGCTGAGCCTCTGGTTAACATTGTCCTCTGTTCCTCTCCCCACCTCTCCTGCAGCCTGGACATGCAGTGTGGCGTGACTAGGGTACGGGCAACTCCAGGCTGGTGTTTTTAGGCCATGTGTTAATCGGGGCTCATAGGGATAATTCCTATATTGAAACACACACAGCTGCAAACATGCAAATAAGCAGTTGGGAAACTCTGACCCCTGGCACATGCTGGGGCAGGAGAGAAGGTGGCTGCTGTGCTGGCAGGGCAGGAGGGTCTCCGGAGATGCCCATGTGCCGCACTGCAACGTAGCTGATCCACTCTGGAAGACGTTCACGGTGCAGATCCAGAGTGACGGGGAAAGCCGGGTCATGTCTTGACAAGTTTTAATTCTACTGCCAATTTGAATGGAAAAGGATGCCCCCCAGCCCTGCCGCGGCGGTAGGTATTGCAGAGCACGCGGCCTTTCTCCCGGTGACTTTTCAGCCTGTGAGGGTTGATGATTAGCCAAATTACTCGGGGAATCGCCCACGTTCTCTCACCGGGTTCTGTGATGTGACAGGGAAACGGAGGAGGAGGTTGTTGCTGAGATGATAAAACTCGTGCAACGACTGGCAGGAAATTCAGATGTTCTCCTGTGATATGATCACGAAACAAGTGCTTTTACAAGGCAGCGAACTCCCCAAGGAGCTGGGATCCACCTGGGCCAGGCCATGGCAGCTCTGTGTGGGCACCTTGTCTTACAAGCCCATAACCCCCTCGTGAAGCGGCTGGATGCGCTCTGCGGCGCCAGCAGAAAAGGCTCTTCCTTGAGAGGCCCCAGCACCAAACCCTGGCTCCAGCAATGTAAAATCAGAGCTATCTCGCCTTCCAGAAAAGCAGTTGCTGCTGATGAAACCCAAAGATAGGGGCAGGCTGCTGGAGGTGCTGATTCAGGGCAGCTGCACAGGCCAGGCTGGTTCTCTGGGCCTGCAGGGCCCCTTTGGAGCAGCCGTAAATGGGCAAACATGGAGCTAAAATGGCAAATAAAGGTGAAGATATAGTGGCCACATGACTGAAAATGAGTTTTAGCGTAAGAGCAGAGAGCGCGTGGTGTCAGTGACTTGTGTCCTGGTTTACCAAAATCCCTTCCTGCGCCTTGGAAGGGTGCAGAGAGCACAGAGTGACTGAGAGGTGCTTGCTGTGTTAGATGACCCTTAAATTCACTTTGGTGCCTCCGTTGCTGTGACTGCTGTCCCCTCCATGCTGCTGGTGACAGCAAAGGGGGTTATGCGTGCCTGGGATCTCTACCTGGCTGTTGGAGTGCTCCGTTTCCTGCCCTTGCCGTGGCACACAGGACGTGGCTTGGGGTGGGTCGGAGACCTGCTCTGCTGGGAGCGGTTCCTGAGCTGTATGCAGCATGATCTTGAGGATAGGAGCTGTCACAGCATGTCACTGCGGCCAGAGCTTCCTGCAAGGCCTTGGTGCCCCTGCACGGGGAGGCAGCTGGAACATGCACTGCGTACCGGAACAGTCATGGAGAGGGGGCAGTGAGACAGCTCCCGCGTCCTCTCATACCCGCTTCTCCTTGCAGATATTTGTTGTGGTGGTACAAGAAAACCCGCTTTGAGAAGAAATATCCCTTCATCGACCTCCTATCTGCAGTTCCTCTGCAGCAGATCTATGGTGAGCCTCTGCATTGGGCACTGGGCTGGTGGGGGGGGAATGCCAGCATTTTCCCCAGGATCCTGGAGCTGCTGCCAGGCTTTGGTGGTAGCGCTGCTGAGATCTCCTAAGGCTGCGTGGTTGGGGTGAGATGGGTGAAGAGGGACAGGACAGGGGCACCAGGCCACAGGTCTGGAGAGTGGATGGGAGGAGTAGGGGCAGGCACTGCTGTGGTGGGTGCTGCAGGGCTGGAGATCATGGTGCTAGAAACTCCCCTGGGCAGTGCTTAGGGGCCTGGATTCACAGCAGAGCAAGGAGCGCCAGGACCGACAATCTTTGTTTTTGCTAGGGTGCCCGCTGGGCGGCATCGGGGGTGGCACCATCACCCGCGGCTGGCGAGGCGAGTTCTGCCGCTGGCAGCTAAATCCTGGGATTTACCATTACGAAACAGTCATCGCTGACCAGGTAGGTGCAACCGCGCGGCAGCGCCCTGTCCTCCAGCCCTATCCCTTCGTGCTTGGCAGCGCTGTTTGTAGCGTGGGCCGGGCAGGCTCAGCCTTGCAGATGCCCCGGGGTAGAGGGCAGGTGCTGTAAAGTGACAGTGCTGACTCCAGGCCAACCTGGACACCCTGGCCTGAGGACTGTAAAGGAGGAGAGACTAGAAGTGACTGTCCGTGGTGGCCGGAGGCTGCTGCCTGTGCAGCCCCAGCGGCCTCACACCTCCTGAGCCCTCGTCCCAGCTGGCTGGGAGAGAAGCTGTTGTTTCTAGGGCCGTTGGCAACTCACCTGTGTGAGGACTGTCCGGAATACACGTGGAGCTAGGAAGGGGTCACATGAGCCTGAATTTTTGTTCCTTTGGGAGAAACATCTGAGACTTTACAAGATTTGAGCCCATCTCTGAGTGCTTTGGAGGCTTGGGATCCTTGAGTGCCTGTGCCAGGCAGAAGGAGTTTCTCTCCTTAAAAGAAGCCTCTTGGGAAGGGCCTCATGCTGGACAAATCTGCCAGTCATCCCTCCTGGGAGGTGCTGCTGTGGTTTGGGTGCATGGGTCCCTCCAAGGCAGCCAGAGCTCGGTCTGTGTATGGACCAAGAGCCGGATCAGAAGTACAAACTGCTCTGGAGCCGCTCTGTGCTGCGGAGGCCTCTGCTTCTGGACTTGTCTCACCACTTTGCTCTCCTCTTCTGCCCAGTTCACAGTGTGTCTGCGTCGCAAGGGCCTGACCGTTTACCAGCAGGTGCTGTCAGTGGAGAGACCCAGCACTCTACAGGGCTGGAACTGGGGCTACTGTGGCCACTATGCCTTCTACCACGTGCTCTACCCCCGTGTCTGGACCATCTATGAGTTCCCAGGGCAAAACGTGGTGCTCACCTGCCGCCAGGTCTCCCCTGTCATCCCCCACGACTACCAGGTAAGGCAGTGGTGGCATGCTGCCCACTGCAGCCCTCCCCAGGCACTGGATGGCACAGGTGCTGTTCACAGTTGCGGACAACATGCAGTTTTGAAGAGGACTGCGGCTGTTGTGGGGCTGGAATGCCCCAGTGCACCCTTCGGGGAGTCTGAAGCAGTCATTAGCTGTGGATTCCCTGGTTGAGCTGTGGAGGCAGGTGCTGCTGCTGCCTTGTCTGCAGCGCTGGTCATTTTTCCACAAACGAGTAAGGAGGGGAATGCTCCTTTGGGTGGTATGACAGATGCGGCCACATGCAGCCACCCTCGAGGAAAGCGGGTCAGACTGCCCCCGCAGCAGCAGATATGCTGGAAGAGCAAGTGTCTGCGCCAGGCTGTGGCAGCGCTGCTGTTGCACTTCAGGTTGGCTGGGACATGCCAGAGCTGCCCGGGTAGAAATAAAGGCTGAGCAGAGCAGACACAGTCCTGTCCTGTTAGTCCAGACCCTACATAGCAGCTTGACTTGTGGATCTTGTTTCCAGTTTGGGGAGCTTGGAGCAGGTGAGTTTTAGACCCCAGAGCACTACATGCTCTACCCACAAAGGCTGCAGGAGGTGATGAATTCCTTGTCCTCTCTGTTTAGTTTCAGGAGTAGCAAAGGGACATGGAAGAGCAGAGCTTGTTTATTCCCAGATTGCTTGCAGCTGGAAGGAAGCAGGGCCAGGCCAGGAACAGATCAGGGATGGATGGAGTGTCTCTGCTGATGCTTATAGCTTTCCCCACCTGGTTGGTCCCAGCACTCCTGGGGTGCCATAGAAATAGATGTGGCTTAGATGGCCTAATTCTGTAAGCTTCCATGCTTGCTTATTTTTCTTTCCCACCCTGGTCTTTTCTGTCCCACGATCATGTCCATAGTGCCAGCTGTTCTCTGGGCTGTAACAGCCAACCTTGGTAAGACTCTGCCTACTCCAAAGCTGTTGATGCTGGTGGGGATAGCCCATTTTTCCTTCTCATTCTTTGCTGACAGCTCTTCCTTTCTTTTTTGGTGTGTTGGATGCTTCGTCCTGCTTGTTCCTGCACCTGTTCCAATGCTATGACTTTCCCAAGCCCTTGCAGTGTGGCAGTCCGGCAGCTGTGCCCTTCCTGTACGAAGGGTCAGGTACTTGTGTTTTGGGAATCCCTCAGTCTGCTCTTGTGGATCAGCTGAGCGATCAATCAGGGTGCTCCTGAGGGTGTTTTAGCTGGTTTCTGCCTGTCCTTCCCCTGTGGTGGCTGTGTATTAGCTAGAGTTGACCCACTACAGTCTGTGCTTGGCAATGCTCCCTGGGCAGGAGGAACCCAAGGGGAAATCTTGCTTGACTAACCTGATAGCCTTCTATGATGAAATGACCGGCTGGATAGATGAGGGGAGAGCAGTGGATGTCATCTGTCTCGAACTCACCAAGGCTTTTGACACCGTCCCTCACAACATCCTCCTGGGCAAGCTCCAGAAGTGTGGGATAGATGAGTGCACAGTGAGGTGGATTAGGAACTGGCTGGATGGCAGGGCCCAGAGAGTGGTGATCAGCGGTGCAGAGTCTAGTTGGAGGCCTGTAGCTAGCGGTGTCCTCCAGGGGTCAGTCCTTGGTCCAGTCCTGTTCAATTTATTCATCAATGACCTGGATGAAGGCACAGAGTGCTCCCTCAGCAAGTTTGCTGATGACACGAAACTGGGAGGAGTAGCTGATACCCCAGAGGGCTG